TTCCATGCATTTTCAATAAGTATTTGTATTTGCTTAAGAAATAAACTGCACATATTTCTGACAGATTGGCTTTCTTAATTGTGTTACACTTAAACTAAATTTGTACTTCTTAAGAAGAGACCAAGTGAAAATGAGAAAGACCCATTAATCAATTTTGAAAGAAGGTGATGTATGACAGGGATTTAAAAACTACCAGTGGATTCTTTATACAGAATTTAATTTACATAGAGATAAGTGAGAATTAAGTATTTCTGAAATTAAATGAGAATATTTACATTTCTTATACTTTTGGGGATGCAAGAAAATAGGGCAAATCTCACTGATATTTGCTCCATATGATATCTTATTACCTGACTTCTGAACACTGTTCTTTCTTTGAAAGAGATACCTACACAAGCAATATATGGTAATAATTCCAGACTAAATAAACTATTGTGCACGCTCACTTATGAACATACTATGTTGTCATTGAGGTTGCATTTTAAATAACTAGTAACTTACTACTACTTTGGTCATCAATTATGCATTTTTTTCATTTTATCAGTGAAGAAAATATATTTAAACAAAATGGAATATCTAATAAAATGCTGAAGTTGAGCAATATGCTAACCATAAAATACATGCTTATAAGAAGCATTTCCCAAAGAAACATTCAAAATAATCACATATAAAGACAATGATAATTATTTTCCCTAAAAATTTAATTATGGCTTTTAAAACTCTGTACATTCAAAACCAGTGATCCAACTGGACTTGTCTTTAGGGTGCTCAAAATGAAACATATTTTTTAAAGTTGTAAATGAACAAATCAATATATTATCTATTGGCTCCTAGAAGAAATTTCAGTCCAATTTCTAAAACTATTTCTATCAGGAGAAGAGCACCTTTCTCCCCTGCCTTCTCCTTCCAGGGAGGGCCGTTCACCCAAACTACTGCTGCCGTCCCTGCGTCCCCGCCCGGCCCACGGGGTGCAGGGAGCTGGCCGAGCTGCGGCAGGGGAGGGCCTGGGCCAGGAGCCCGCCCGCGGGCCCCTTCTTCAGGAGGCGCTGTGAGGAAGGGCCACCCACGGGGCGGGCTCCTCACTGCCTAGGCCTGGGGGACCAGCTTCCTCCAGAACCCCTGGGCTGGTGGGTGGCCCAGGGCTATGACTGGAGCGAGTTGCTGGACCAGTCCGTGTGATTCTGGAGATGAAGCCACGTTTAAAATCATTAGAAATATTTATTGTAACATTTTAATGAAATTTTAAATGAATTTTCTGGTCTCCATCTTCCTTTGTCCTTTTCAGTGGATCCAGAACCCAGACTGGTGCTTTTTGGTGGACAACCTTCCTCTCCCAAGTAGGCCCTCAAATTTTAAGTTCTGTTTTCCCCTATTAACTTTCTTCCCTCTTTTGTATGCCTGTATGCAGTACACGGATACACTTTTATTTCAGTATTTGTCATTTATTTATTATAATAAAATTTATTATGAAAACAGTCATGAAATATATTCCTTAGCTAGAAATCAATATATCCCAGGACTACAATCTGTTTCAAGATTGATTCTGCAAATTGAGCAGCTTATTCTAGATATTTAAGCAGTTATGGAGTTTAGATAGCATTATCCAAAGAGAAGTAAGCTGAATTTCTATACTGATAAATAGTCTGGAAGCTATAAGATGAAATAAATGGGAAAAACAATATATATTGAAGAGGGTTTTTAATAATTTATTTGTCCCTATAGCAAGATAATTCAATCACTGGCTTTATCTATCATAAAATATCCCATTTAAGGCTTCAATTCTGCTATCCAAAGTTTTATATCTAAGTCAATAATATGGTGTACTAAATAACTCTGGGGAAAAAACATTTTTTTAAAATTTATTTCCTTTTCATCACTTTAACATTGATAGTGACTATTTTACATTCAACTTGTTTTTAAAAATGTGTAAATTTAGTTGCAAATCTAGTTACTTAGGAAGCCTCTAGTTATAAAATAACTGGCTTTTTGTTTAAAATGTCTGCTGTATATATGACATCCACAGTCATTAGAATTAAGAAACCATTCTAATACAGTGTGTCTGTATTAGAATTATTTCATAATGTGAGCTAATTAAAGAGTAAGAGAGAATTAGTTCAAGTTAAATACCACCAATCTGAATTTTTTTTTAAAATGGAGTAACACAATTACATGTTCAGTCAGGTAAAATACATGAAGTAAAATATACTTAGAGCAACAAAAAAGCTTTAGTGTAATTACAACAGCAATAATTTAAAAATTGCCTGAAATCAACCTGGTATACCTTTTAATTAGAAATAATTTATATCCTTAAGCTACTTAAATAATTTCATGCATTTTATCTAAATTATTAACATCACCCAACAGACTCCAGGAGAGACATATAAGTAACATTTAGAGAAGAAAAATACCTCCAATAGAAACTGCTAGCAACACTAAATCATTGGAAAATGCCAAGATTAGAAGGTGAGTGAGGGATCCACCCCTTTAAAAAATGCTTGAACAAGACTTTTAAATAATTGAAGCAAAGCAATTTTGAAACAGCGTAGTGTGTACATTGGAAGAGTCCATCTAAAGAAGTGATTTAATCCCACGTAAAACCTACAAAACAAAAGCTAATCTTATTCCAAAAATGTGGCATCCCTAATGCCAAAAACAATGAAACAAATAAAAAAGTCACTGTAATTTTGTGACTAAAGAACAAAAAATGTCCGATGAGAATCATCTCATCTTTCTGACCTCCCTGCCCGCCTTCTGCCCCTCCCGTCGTTATTTGGGGAATACGTTTAGTTTACGTCCTGAAACATTCTTCCGGGCACCACACCTTGTTGAGAGTGGTCATGCAGCCTTGTATCTATCTCAAAACAACTGGACTTGTTTAACGAGACGTTATGGAAATAATTTTTCACTGCTCCTTCAGCTTTTACTGCATTAGTAATAATCGACATTACTAGGCCCAATACACAGCTTTCACAGAGTCTATTCGCATAATTATGAGGAAGTTTTGGGGTGTGTTGGCTATCCGGGCCACCGTAGTACCAGTACCATAAACGCATCACGTCTAAAGTCCGCCACGCGTGGCGCCCAGGACGAGGCCCTGCGTGTACCCAACCCTCCCGAGAGCCTGCCCCGCACGCGGGCCGGCCGCGCTCTCTACCGAAGAAACTGAGAACGCAGAGATGGACCTTCGCAGCTGTTCCAGCCTCACAACTGGTGGCCCGGGAACATGAGAAAGGAGGGGCGGCCAGGGTGAGCGCCAGGCTTGCCTGGTCCCTCGGTCTCGCTGTTTCTGCGTCACCGTCTGCAGACGCAGGGGACGGAGAGAGGGCGTGCGCCGAGGGCCAGCCTTCCCGGCCTGACCACCCACGCCGCCCCCAGCTCCTTGGGCCACGCGCAGACTCAGGCTTCTCGTGCGCCTGCCCTGGGCTGCCCGCCTCGTCCTGCTCGCGCGCTCGCTCCAGTCCCGAGCCTCTACCTGTTTAAGTGGCACGTGTGGCTCCCTGGGTGCGCTGCTTTCCTTCAGCCTCCTTCCTAAATTATGTCTCGATCACCCTCTGCATATATTTTCCTTCTGACGTTTATTCAGCGAACTGGAAAACCTCAGCCTCCCAGCAAAGTGTTGCTGCCCTTATTTATTCACTTAACTACTTAATGAGAACCTGTGTCAAGCACTGATCTGACTGCAGGGCGAAGGGGTGACAACTACACGTAAGGCCCCTAATCGCAGGAAAATCTGCAGGAAGGACAGACGATGAACCAGGAAGCAAATATATAAAACATTTCACACCCTAAAAATTCTACAAAGAATGCCAAGTAAGGTCACAGGTGGGGAGAGCAGAGCACCAGGGGTCCGCCGGGCACTGGCGCTGGCAGGATGGGCAGGAAGGGCCTCCTGCGCAAAGCAACGCCGGAGCAGGAGCAGAAAAGTCGGGGCCGCTAGAAGGAGAGAGAGCGCCGAGAGGCGAGGCGAGGAGAGACGCGGCCTGAGCTGCAGGCTGCCACCGGGGCCAGATGCACCGGGGCCGCACACTCGGATTTTCTTCTAAGTGCGTAGCGGCGGCCTGACCTGCTGACAGACTGGACTCATGGGGAGAGGCTGCTAGGCACCGAGAGCTGGGAATCAGAGCGCGGGCGGTCTTTCCCGCCGCCTCCCCACGGGCGCGACTCGGCCCCCTGACCTCTCGAAACTTACTGAGAAATTCGCTGTTCTCATGCTTTTCTATCCAGTTCTATTCGGTGCCCTGCATTCTGGGGCAGAATGACATCCATTTCTAAATGGAATGGTCGGACATCCTGTCAAGTAATACATGAAATAAAATATATAAAATTCTGGATATTTTAAAGTTTTAGGCAAATGTCATATTTTTCCTGTTAGACATTCCCTCCCAAAATATAATTTAAGTGCATTAAAAATGCTGACTTATACATCTCCATAATAAAATATGGATCTAACCTTATTAAACCATAGCCTTCTGAATGTTTATAAATTTATAAATTAAGGAATAAATTATATTACCAATCTTTACTTTCACATTATGCATAATTAATATTTATCATTTCCTCCATATCATGTATCAACCATAATCAGAAATACTAAAAATGTGATTTTAGATCTTCAATATGTACTCCAGAAAATCTGTCCTGCTTTCTGTAACCTAAGGACTTCCACCTGTGATTCGACTACTGCTTACTCATTTTTTAAACACAACTTGGCATATCACCTGGTATTATACTGTGTAATAACAATGATTGTATTTAATGAATGCTGTTAAACTGTAAATTGTTTCTAGGCAGAAACTAATACTCATCCACCTCATATAACACCTCTGTGAGCACCATACAAGGCATTTAGTAATAACTTAGTAAATGTGTTGAATGACTTAATGAGTGAATTCTAGAATTATTCAGACTGCAGCTATCTGGATTCATCAATACTTTTTTTTCAATTCATACAGTTTTATGCACAAGCACACACAGGCACAAGTATTTTCAAAGAGTCGTACCTCCCAAAGTAGCAGATAGCAAGAAATGTGTCCCATATTTCTTGATAAGGTTTTCTGTGATTTGCTGAAGGGTGGGTCGGCGTCCCAAAAGTCTGATGTTGCGGAAGAATTCGGGGGCAAGAGGCAGAGGGGAGCCGAGGAAATGTCTTCTCTCAACTGCAAGGTTATTTACTTTCCAGCGGCCAAACTCCCTGAAAAGCAAATTTATTTTTATTCATAAATACATAATCTATCTGAATGTTTTCATTTGAAAAGTTTACTTGGTAGCTTAGCTGGGGTCACTACATGAGAGCGCCTCTTGTTTGTAATAGTATGTCATGTGCTGTGAGTAAGAGAAGCAGTATTATAATTTATTTCATTGGAGTGAATATTCTAAAACCCAGTCATGTAGAGGAAAAAATAAGCCACTTAAAGTAGACCGTTTCTACTGATTTTTCCCCCTGAGAAAAGATGTACTCATAAAAAATGATTTCATTGTGCATAGAATATGAATGTAGAGTTATTAAAAAAGAAAAAAACTAATGTAGTATTTTTCATTTTCTAAGGGAAATTGAAAAAAGAATAAATTTATTTTCATCACTCTAATGATTCCTTTGTTTATTCATGTTAGAGTGGAAACTTGTAGACTCTTCAGGGCACTATGGAATCGCAGAAAAAGTTTTAAAAACATGATCAAAAGAAAAACTGGAGGTGTTTTCTTACAATAATTATTAATAACATATTTTGAAACTCAAATCCAACCTGCTTAGCAATTTCTCAAGCTGCAAAATTACTTTTAAGTTGGGTGTGCCAAATTAGAAAAATGGTAGATATGGCTGTAAAACAGTTTTAACAAATTTGTCATTTTCTAAAATCAACTAACAACACTAATTTAACAAAAATATTTTATTCATGGTTTACTACTTACTGTCTACTGTTATCAGAAATCTCATTAGCTATATAGATGTAAGAAAACCTCTGACCTCGAGGGCTCAAGGGTTATACTAAGCAAGATAAATTGGGAATCAATGAGTCACAATTCAAAGACTTTCAAATACTTTTATGCGCAATAATACAAGTGTGCAATAGCTTAAATAGCACAATTCCTCTGGCCAATTTATCACTACTGGTGGGTATACATGTTACTAATCTAACTCACTTTGAATATGTTTTCTCTTCCCTTATATTCACAGACCTTCTAAGGAGGGCTGTGAAGAACCCAAGACTGGGTAAGCTTCCCAGGACCCCCTTCAGCATCAGGGGTACTTGGTATTACCCCAGTCCATTAACCTCTGTGAAGGCCATAGTCTGGATTGACCTTCTGACATTTTAGTTGGACAAAACACTTTGCTGCCCCGCCTGACTGATTTATTCTCTGTCATGCAACAACCAAATCTAAAGGGCAAACTCTTTGAGAGTGTCACCAGACTGAGACTAATTAATCAATCAACTAACTAAATCAATGAATTAAAGCCAGCATTGTTAGTAACTACAGCAAATTGTTGTCTTAATTTCAAGAACTAATTGTTCATCTAAAATTCTTCTCTTGATCAGTTTTTAATATTTTCATATAAAGAATGAAAGTAAAATATTACACTTTCATTGTGTATATCCAAAAAGTATAATTTGTGTAAAAACATAGATGTTGATTTGAGATCTGAGATCATTCATTTCCACTCACCCCACTTGGTTGGTATCATAAGGATATGTGATCATTGCTATAATCTCTATACATTTTTGGTGAAAACCCAGATAGGAAGTATTGAATTAAGACTGAGAAGTGTTGATAAGAATACTTGAAGTAAAGGGAGTCATGACTGCACAGTTAAGCACCACATTGGAAGGGGTAGTCATTAAATACAAATACAAATACTCAGTGTCTCTTTTTCCTGGACACAGGATAAGGTGGGATTTATTGGTGTCCTTAAAAGTTAGTGTGTCCAAGTGGCTTACTTGGACCAATGAACGAAGACCATGTTCGGTTACCCAGGTCCGTCATTCTGGGACCCTGATACCCACCCTCACCCCATCCCCTCCCCTGCAGCTCGTGGGATGAATGCGTGCATGAACTAAAAAGAAATTTTGTCATGTAAAGCTACCAAGACTATGGCCTTATTAGTTAGTTTATTTGCTTGCAAAATAATCCAGTACACCATGATTGATGTAGAGCGTTTGATGTTGGGGTAACTTGAGAAAACAAGAAGGAATGATGGTGCGTATACTGCAAACTTCTGGCTGCAGTGTTTTCTTCCCTGAAGGTAAGGTTCCCCTCCGCTGTAACGAGACCGGGCAGTTATTTAAGTCTGGAAAAAAACAGCAATGGCGTGAACTGAAAACATGCTGTTGGGCATGGTTATCATAACGAGAGCATATTACCTGAAGGCATTGAAGGAATCCATCTATCCAGATGTATTCTGCTTCTATTAAATAAGAACACTATTGTATCCAAATAACGTTGCATTCTACCTGAAGCCTTCACAGAATACAAATATTTTCCTATCATAACTTGGGACATTTCAGGTGAAATAGGCATGATCATTAGAGTTTAATGGAACTTGGCCCTCTTAGAAGCACCGCTATTTTGTAAAACACACAAATGGGCTATAACCAGCTCAGCCAGAACATTACTTTGAAAATGTTTTTGTTGGCACTAAGGAGCCTCTATTAGTTGATTAGAGCTGTGTGCTTGCCTGCTCAAAATTCTGACTTGCAAGCATCTATTTTTCTGTGTGTCCACGTAATGTTTACTTTTCTACAACAATATTTATTATCATTTACCCCTACCCACCTCATACAGAAGATTGGATAACAAGAGTGCTATCAACACATTCTGTTTCAGTAATGCCTACATCATGGTTGGGCCACACTGCCCTTGCCTTTTTTATTAATATTTAAATTCTATGTGAATATGTAATTGTATTCAATATATTTAAAATACATTAACTACCATGATTTCTTTAAAATTACACATATATATTTGTTTCCCCCAAATACAGAAGCTACCACTGTTGACATTAGATATTTTGGACTCAATAACAAAGAAAAAGCAGCCTAAAAACAGTGACAAAATTAGATGATGGAGTTGCTGAAATGATTTATCTTTATCTGCTAATTCACACAAAATAAAGTTGCTGCCTAAGCCCCAGAGGCCATTATTACATTGCCTTTCTCAGAACTAAATTGGTTGGCTTATAATTTTAATTCTGTCTGTATTCATTGAAATTGGCAGACACAACAGAATATTAAAACATAATGTCCAAGCACAACCAACTACGAAGAAATACAGCGTAGGCATCATAAATTAACTGACTTGCCAACCTTTAGTAGCAACAACTTTCTAATTACATCTGTAAAATCATACTGATGTTAAGAATGGTCACCAATAATCAATACTAGTTTTCCCTAGTTTTATGACGTGTAACTGTTAGATATAAAGCTGGCCCTTTTAACATTCTTTCTGTGCAGCTCCCACATCTCGCAAACAATGCTGTTTCCCGTTTGGCCGGTAAAAGGGAAGCGTCCCTAATGGCCCAGATGACTGGCTCTGAAGCGAGCGTTTCCAAAGCGGCTGAAGGCTAAGCACCAGGCTGCGGAGAGGATCTGCTTTCTTTTGCCTCCTGACACTTGATACACCAATACCACTTAAAAAAAATCTAACAGTTCTAAGGGTTTCAAAGCTTGGAAGGTGTTTTTGGAAGAGGCAAGGGATGTAGCAGCATAAATCCATGCACATAAAAGCATGATGACAAATATGAGTTGTGCAGAATGTTTACATGCAGGATTTCTGAGAAGCACCATTAACAACTGGTGTATTTGAATGAGCTGCCAAACCGAGAGATTAGAGAACACAAATTAGCATGATTGCACAAAACAGTGCCCCTCCCTGGGAAGCAAAAGAATTCACTGTGGCTCTGTCTATGTTAGAAGTAAATAAAACGAAACGGAGATGGAGTTATGAAGAAATGTATAAGGAATGGTCTGGTATGGCTAATGATATATACTTTCAGTTCTTAAAATGTTAAATTTGCAGGGCTATGAAATGCCTGAACGTTACTCAATTTTATCTTACATAACTTTAAATCATTTTCTGTAGACAGGTTTTTATTTCAATTTTAATACAAATAATGCAGAATTCAATTATCATAGTTGCTGTCATTATTCCCAAAGTTAATTAATTCAATAAAAATATAAAGGTACCACATGCTTGTACCATCACAGATGTAAATAATAATTTGTATTATCCATGTTTAAATCAAACCATTGTTTGAACAGATGTGAGCAAAAGTTTTGATGTAAAGAGTATATATACATGCTGTTAATAAATGACTTTTTAAATTGAAGAGAGAGGGGATTGTGTAACAAGCAAACTCATTTCTTTCTAAATTTTGGAAATACAGTTTAACATCTGTTACCACTTACCACAATTTTTCATCAATTACATACATGTAATTATACAGATTTGGTAATTATTGATCAGTGTAGAGAAAGCAAAGACAGACATACTGAGCTAAAATAAAATGTCAGCTCTGGTTCTCTGTATAAAAAGAAATAAACAAATATAAGGTCTCTATCTTTTTTCCATTACTACTTTAAAAAGCCATTCTTTATCTTGGTTACAAAATGGAAAATATTTGCATTTCATATATGAATTTAAATATGTGGAGGAGGTAATGCTAGTTTTTCCAAAAGGAATGGATTTAGGTGTTAGATACTTGAAGTTTGAAATCCCATTCCCACCAATTCAGTTCGCAGAATTCAAAGTTCTGTGAGTGTCAGCAGGTTGTTAACCTCACTGATGGACAGTCATTTCATATATGAGCAGACATCTAATAAGACTGACTCTGCAGGGTTCTGAAGAAGTAAAATCTGTGCCAAACTACAATGGTTTGGGGTGCATTGTTTACATCATAGTCCATTCGGTGGGCGCGTCCTTGTGCAGGCACGGATTTGTGTCTCATATTGTCCATTCTTCACATTCATATGAATATTGACCATGATAATAAGCTTGAGTGAAATTAATGAGCAAAATTTACAAAATAATTCATAAATAAAGCTAAGTCAAAGAATTTGCAAATTGTTTTCTTGTTCCAGACACAGACTTGTAAGTTAAATGCCAAAATTATATTTACCTGATCATGAAAGAATAATCTGCATTTAAACATTTAAGCAATCATTTCACTGAGATTTCTTCATGACGGCACAGCCTCTACAT